GGTCAGAGAGAGATGATATTAGTGTTTGTGGTGTTTGCTGTGTGCTGCGTGCTGTGTATAGTGTGCTGTGTGTATGTGCACACACACTCACACACTCTCTCTCTCTCTCTCACATGTGTGTGTATGTGTGAGAGAGTGTGTGTGTGTGTGAGTGTGTGTGAGTGTTATGCCTCGAGTTGCATTATTACCCTGCATATGCATAACGCAGAGTAGGCGAGATGCACTGCTATGTACGATATGGTATAGCTATATGGCATAGTTACCCTATGACATCACTTGGGAGATGTGTGGCTGCTTGGCTGCTTGGCTGGTACATATATGACCATGTATGTGTATTTCCAGATGGACCCAACGGACATGACCAAGGAGGTAACGCACGAGATGGCTGTGTGCACTTATGTGCGTCGGGAGACGTGTATCCGGCTATGGGGTGAATCCCGTAGTGGATCCTGGGTGGATCCGTTGGCGAGCACGTCCTGTTTCAGGTTCTGTGCCGAAGTACTGGTGGACCGGCTTGCAGTGCTGTGGTACTTCTTCATACCCCTGAAGCGGTGAGTTGCGGGTGTGTATCTATGATGTTGATACAGGGTGGTTAAGCTCCACCAGCGGGCCCCTTTCCCGAGGCAGTCCCTGCTCTCCCCTGCGAGAGGGGCACCCTAATCCAATCACACCATCCAACATCAGATTGAACTCGATGTGATTGGCAACTCACCACCACCATTCAATCAAATCTAGCGGATCAACGACGCCTCAACATAGTTCCTGGTCAGTTTGCAAGTTGATATCATCTCATCCTACACCATCCATAAGACGGGGGGCCACCTGCCATTTCAACACCCCTCAAACACACGAGAGGTTGGCAGGCGGATTAAAACCGGGTCGTCCGGGAACAGAAGCCAGGCCTCAACTTCTGCCAGCCACCTGCCTGTGATCTCTGCATCTGTGCATGTATTTCTGGGTCTTGGGGATTTGTGTCTCAGCCGTCCTGCAGGCTGATAATAATCCTCCTTGCGTAAGGAAGCTCAGGAAAGATAACTGCGGGGCCTAAGCCCTGGCGTGTGGCGTGTAGGGGCTGGCAATGTAGGGTTGATATTTCCCCTACCTTATCCACCAGTATTTTGCTGTCGTAGCAGATCTCCGCCTGCGGCTGCCGATGAGCATTGCCAGTAGTCTATCCAAGCTGCTGCACTCCCCGACCTGGATTGCAGGAAGCTAAGCATACACATGCAGCAGTAACGTCTCCCGCCCATTCCTCCCTAATCCAGTACCTGTTACCTTCCTTTCATGCATTTCCATGACCTAATTATCATAGTGATGATAGGCGTCTCCTACCGATTCCCATCGGACACGACGTCACTCGGTACGAGTTTGGTTCCTGTGAATTGCCGTACGTGGCGCGGACAGCGCGATTCGTGAACATGTCTCCATTGGGCGCGCTGGTAGCCAACCGTGTCCATGACGCCCTCTCAACCGACGCAATAGTTGCGGTGATCACATACAAATGGGACATGTACGCTGGTAAGCCGCCTGACGGTCCATACATACATATCATGTTATACAAGTAGGTGCGGCAAGACCCCCTCGGCACCCCAGTTTCCACCTCCTTACGTGGATAGCATATATCAGCAGGCTCGGATCGGTACATGGCCGAGAGAGACGGTTGCTGTAACTATGCTGGCGGGTTGATCGGTCGATGGGTGTGCTGCCTATGCATATATGCGGTCATGTAGCTAGCTACGTACGTACTGCTAGCTGTAGGCCATGCTGCTGGTGGTGGGTCACTACCTAGTACATATGATAGTATTACCTAGTTGCTGACCGACTCATAGCATTTTTGATCATCGTTATGAAAGGGCCAGCCGGGGGCGGACTCGGACCTTAACAAAAGAGCTGCGCGATCCAGTTGGCTGCACCAGGTATGAGTCATTCAGATTTGGAGCTGCGACCTTACGATTACAAGTCCTCATCCTTACGGAGTGGCGATTCCGGCAATCATGCAGCAAATCTGTGCTCAGACAAAGAGTGATCAGGCATTTCCGTGTTCCTGCCATCATCATCGCCTACATCACGGCCCGACCATTGAGAGCCCACACAGGCCTAAGCTATTACTCTCTCTCCTCTCATCCACAAATTATGTAATAAAAGAACACATGCTATTATTACTGGCACGCCGCACGCAGGCAAGATATACAGGAGGCAGGCCATGTATTATTGCTTCTTCATGGCATTGTACATCACCACCACGACGATCGGTTTGGAATGGTACCCAAGCGTAGGCCGGCTGGCAGATATGTACGGCAGGAGAGGTGTGAGTATACGGATGGTGGTCCGTTTTTTTCTGGAGCTCTTGCTACTGCTGGGCAGCATCTGGTATCTGCAGCGAGAGTCTCTCCAGATGTCCCGACAAGGAGTCCTCCAGTACTTATTCGGTATGTGTATGTGTGTGTATGTGCAGATAGGTGTGTAAATTGTGTCTGTACGTATGTGCAGATAGGTTGAAACGGGTGCATGAGATAGTGCTGTAACCAGGCAGAATGAGTCCACCAGGCAGAATGAGTATGCTGTTGTACACCTACCCGCCGGCTGGCTGGCGCAAGGCTACCTAGGAAAAACTTGACTGTCCAGGCTTCACAAAATACAGATGAATTATTATTGGGATGGGAATCTAGGCGGCTGGGAACACCCCTACTTTCCGCCCCTATGCAGTACCACTGAATGGTGGTATCGAAAGATACCGATTGAGGCAGAGTCCACCTGGGCCCAATGCCGGCATGTTCGCGAATGTTCCCAGTCTGACTGGGCGGCGTAGATAGAACCGAAATCCGCAGACAGATATTCACCCAACCGATAATCAGATAGTACCAGGGACGCAGATCCCAGCTTTACTCAGGTTAAGCCCCCGCCCATACTCAGGTATGGACTTCAGGTGCGGCATTTGAATAGCATTTCCGACGTACAGCAGTCGCAAGCCGCCAGGTTAGTAACAGTAAGATTAGACAGTCTTGTAAACATAAACAGAAATATGTAAACAGGTTTCAGTTAGTTACAGCGGTAATGGTAAAGAGGATCGAACAGTTCAAACCTTCTACCGAAAGGAAATACGAACAGCTACAGAGAACAGATTTCAGGATACACCACCATTAATTGGGTATGCATGGTACATAGCGGAACATGCTCTCAAGATATTTGCTAGCTTGCTGGGACATCTATTTGAGGCCGCGCATGGCAATAGTGCTGCATGTGATGAAGCTCTGGATGGTGCATGGGTTACGTTCTGAACCTCGAGTGAGAGGCGTAACTGTGTATGCACGCTCTAAATCGCGGCGATATGGGTGCGTGGGTGGGTTTTTTATGAACATGCGTATGGTCTGTCTTACGTTTGGCTCAGACCTACCGCCCACACATATCACTATGACGACGGGTGATCGCGTTAAGTCGCGTTAAATTCGCGTTACGAGGCTTTAACGCGAGTTTAACGCGACGCTAACGCGATGTAAACGCGATCTTAAGCACTGATAACGCGAGCGGTTCGCTTGTGCGTATGGCCTAACGCACATCATCTTTATTCGCATGCGAACGAGCTGAGTAATTTTGGCTGGCAGTGCGTTAGCTTAAGCAACTAACGCAAACTAACGCAAACTTTACGCGATCGTAAACGCGACCAGGTGACTTTTAACGCGAGCGTTACCTTACCTATAGGTGTAACGCATACGCAAGCGAATGGCATACGCGGCTGCGACTGGTGCGAATGCGTATGCATATGCGAATGTGGCGAATGATATCGCGAGTTTTACGCGACCCTAAACGCGACCAGGTGACTTTTAACGCGAGCGTTATCTTAGCTATAGGTGTAACGCATACGCATGCGACTGGTGCGAATGCGTATGCATATGCGAATGTGGCGAATGATATCGCGAGTTTTACGCGACCCTAAACGCGACCAGGTGACTTTTAACGCGAGCGTTAGCTTAGCTATAGGTGTAACGCATACGCATGCGAATGGTGCGAATGCGTATGCACATGCGAATGTGGCGAATGAATTCGCGAGTTTTACGCGACCCTAAACGCGACCAGGTGACTTTTAACGCGAGCGTTAGCTTAGCTATAGGTGTAACGCATACGCATGCGAATGGTGCGAATGCGTATGCACATGCGAATGTGGCGAATGAATTCGCGAGTTTTACGCGACCCTAAACGCGACCGGGTGACTTTTAACGCGAGCGTATAGCCAAACGCAAGGGATGCGAATCGCATACGCATGCGAATGGTGCGAATGCGTATGCACATGCGAATTTTCGCGAGTGACTGCGACTTGCGCTGCGGGACGCGAACTGTACTTTTAACGCGAGCAATCCAAAAGCATTGCGAATGGCATACGCGACTGCAAAGTGCAAAGTGCACCGCCGTTGCATATGACCTGCAGGTTCACAGCTGTGAACCACAGCACTCACTGCTTTCTTCATACATTTGAACTTTGCTTAAACGTCATCGCGTGATCCGTACTCACTACTAACTTATTGTGGGGAAGGCCATTGCGTCTGCGACCACACTCCCGCGGTACCCAAACCCTTCAAAGACAATTCCGATCAGCCATTTGGCTGTTAGTGGGAGGGCGGGTGGGCCGCTCGCACGGCAATCGAGTAGAGAGTACGAA